AACATATATTGTATATAACTTTAAAAAAAATTATATTAAAAGTTTTTATATACTTGAAACCAAACTTGACCATGCATTTAAAGAAAAAAAATATAGTAATGTTTTTAAAAAGAATGTATTTAGAAAGAATTCTCTGTATGACTTTTAGTATCAGGTGTTAATGTTAAAAACAGGTTTTCCAACTTATAGAAATATTTTTAGCGTCTATTATTAAAGATAGAATTTCAATTTTAAATTAAAAACAATAATATTATTATTATCGCATTTATAACTTTTGACATTGGCTAGCGCACTCCTCCTAATCAGACTAGATATCTCTAATTCGTTTTTTTTTTGATTTCTAACACGTCACTTTTTCAAAAAAAATGCCTCGCAAGACACGTACCTCTCCAACTGTTACCCAGAAAAAGAAACACGTTTCCACAATGCCTTCTCGTCCCGCACCTGCACCCGCAACGGTCGCTCCATCAAAGTCAGCACAAAATTCTAACGTTCCTGCTAATACTTCAGACCCACCAACTTCCCTTACTACTCCGAAACAGCCTAGTTTGTTGGGACAGGTGAAAGATCTAATACTTACTGTATAATTTATTTTTCGCCATTGAAAAGGGATATATATTTTATTATTTAAATTCAGGTTGCTTCAACTGCTGCTGGTGTTGCTATCGGTCACAGCGTCGTAAGTAGACGCAAATGTTTGAAAAAAAATGATTTTACATATACAGCATTCTTACTAAAATTTCTATAGGGTCAAGGCATTACTTCTCTTTTTTCTGGTGGTGGTTCAAGTGTCACCGAAACTCAAGAGGTACCACTTAACCTAATACATTTGATTTAAATGTATATGTCAATAATATTAACTTTCATATAAAATAATATTTTTAGAAGCCTAAGTATCAGGATTCCCAAACTGATGGCAGACATGTTGCATGTGAAGCCGATACAAGAGCTTTGAAAAACTGTTTGGAGCAAAACAACTATGATGTCAATGTTTGTCAATGGTACTTAGAGAATCTCAAGGCATGTCAACAGATGGCTTCACAATATTAAATTTATGAAATTATAATTTTATTTACATTTACAAAAGAACAAATGTAATAAATAATGTTTTATTGATTTTGTAATTAAAAAATTTAAAAAATAGAAAAAATTAATATAGTATATTGCTTGATATAAAAAAATATATTTGTATACAAAGAATATTTATTAATAAAATTAAATTTATACAAAGCAAAGTTATATTAAAAATTAAAAATATAAAAATAAATACAATAATTAATAAATTATAATAATAAATAATAAAATTATTTATTTTTAATAATTTTTTAACTATTAAAATTTATATATAATTTAGTACAAACTGATATTTTTACTTCTAATTAGGTTTCAAGCCATAATATTTATTAATCTTTTTAAACAGAATATAGTAATCCAATTTTATATTATAATTAAACATTTTTATAAGCTGCAGTACATTTGTCAATAAATCTAATAAATTTATATATAATCATTAAATCCTTAATATCAAGACTATCATATTGCTTATATAATCTAACTATTTACTAATTATTATACTATAAGGAAGTTGATTTATTAAGCTATTATTATATGATATCAACTATTTTAAACTTTTTAAATTCTTTTAACTTTCTAAATAAAATTACTTCTCTTTAATAAAACTATATAATAATTTAAACTAAAAAATTATTGTCAACCTATATTTGTGACTGTTATTACAATATAATTACTATAGTTCTAAAATATAAAAAATTTTTATTTTTTGTAAAAAAAAAGAAAATAAAAATAAAAATAAAAAGTTTGTACTGATAAATAAAAACCCTTTTATATTAATTACCAGTTTAATAAGAATCTTTTTTAATCTTGAAAAGAAAAAAAATTAATATAAGAGAAGAGAAAAAAACTTCAAATCACTTCTAATAAGAAAACATCTTAATGTTTTATTCTTTTGCCATATTTAGTTATATCATTAGTTTTAATATAATATAATATAATATATATAAGAAATATTGTATTTTTTTTTATATATTGATCAATTAATTTAAGATTTTGATACTTACTAATCAAAATTTCTAGTGTAATAAAAAATTCATAATTAAATTAAAATAGATAAATTTTTTAAAAAAACTAAAATTTTTTTATTATACTTAAAAGTATTATTAAAATATATATAAT